GGAAACCCCAAAAGTATTATTTTAAAGCTACCTCCATCTACCTAATTCTAACAATTGGTGCTGATTGTGAATTCACAGAAGCCATCTCAGGCTCAATTCCCCCACCCCTCTTTTTTTTTTTTTCCATTTTCCCCCACCCCTCTTAACTCTCGGCTGAAAGATATCTAAAATGCTGGGTCTTGTCTGGCTGTTCTACATCAAAGTTCTGACACAACAGGACAGGTGAACCATTACAGACTTTGAAAAGCGCCTCTTTGAATGGTAGGAGAAGCAGCTTCTGCAATAGATATTCACTGATATCTAACATGCAGGAATTTTCAAGGGGATTCAGCATAAAACCGATAGATCGATAAACCTCGTCCCCCCCCCCAACCCAAGAGTACTGTTTTTTTCTGTAGAATCACAAACAGGAAATTAAAGTGCTCCATCAAAATCCCCAATAGGGGACATAAATCTCTAGAATGTTTTAATGACATTAATATCTCCTGAATGCCTAAAAGATGTCTTTAAAATGAGTTAAGAGAAAAAGGCATTCTGTTTCATAAGTTCCAAGCACTCAAAAGTCCTGCTCTGAGAAATGACCTCCCTGACACAGCAAATAATAAATGAAGAACACAAGTGGGCTTTCATTTTCTTTTTCCAAGTGATGTCTTCTGTCTGGAATGAGTAAATTAAAAGGGGCCTACCCGCTCCATGACAACTACTTGGAGAGGCACTTCCAGAAATGGATTAATACGTCTGTGGGTCACCACCACATAGGGTGCTGTCAAACCTCTTTGATCTTCCCCAAATGGAAGCATATTCACATCCCCAAGATTCCTTGCCCGTGCGGTTCTTTTTCACGCAGCGATCCGGGTTCTCTGCCACTGTCTGTAAAGAGCACAGGTTTCAGCCCCCTCCCCACGACCACCACTGTCCAAGAGGTGTGACAGCTTGAAGGCCTCTAGAGAAAAGATCCCAAGGGTGACACAGGACTTCTTTCAGTCCAAAGCGGTAATGGCAACAAGAACCTTCTCTACCTTGCAGGTCAGCTTTGGTCAACGCAACTTTGTTAGCAAAAGGACAGAAGAGGCGAAAACAATAACCAGAGGTTAGTAAGTGGTCGAGTAAACGGGGGATCACATTACAGAAATGGACACACAATCGGCATAACCAACATCACTCGGACAGACACTTGAGATGCTCCACGGGTTTCTCCAGAGACAGCATGGACAGGGAATGCACAGACCAGGGGTGGAGCAGGCCTCGGTGATCAGAGCCACGACAGCCGGGCAGGGGCGGGCGGACGCGGGGTGGGACGCAGCGCAGCAGGGGCAGGGGAGCCTTCCCACGCACACGGCCAACAGGCAGATGGTCCAGAGAGGTGACTGCCCCTCGGTCAGGATGAACACCAAGAAACAGGGGGCAGACGCGGCCAGACTGAAAGACACGTGTGCACAGCCAGACGGAGCCCACAAAACAATTCTGCACATGGAGGAGCCGAGCATGGACGAGTGGCCGGGGAGCGCCCCTTCTGACCTCCTGAAAATGCTGCCAAGGAAACTGGCACCAGAATCAGGCATTGCTCTGAAGGTGATCTGGGGACACCCACCATCTCAACTGGCTTAATTTATTAAAAAAATGGAGCTGAACCCAAATGGCGGTGGGCAGAACGGCACCCAATCCAATGCCCTTTTTATTTATTTATGCCAGTCTCCAAATGAAGCACGTGCGTTTCTCTCAGATGTTTACCATCTGCAAGTGTGGGATCGAATTTCTAGCCAATGCATGCCTTGGTTTCTGCAGCAAAGCTGGCCTCAAGACAGAAAGAGATATCTACTAGCCAAGTATTGAATCAGACAATATTAAAAATCCCTAGCCCAAACTGAGAGGCTGCGGGTCACAGTTAGATGTTGGCTAAGCTGTCCAGAACTCACACTCAACTTTTAAATTATGCACTCCACATATATTAGAAACATAAAATAAAAATCTAATTCAGGATTTTTTTTTTCTCTCTTATTATAAACAATTGAGTGCCAAAGAGTAGTGGATTGATGACTCTTTAAAGTAATTTTGGACTCTTTGGGGTTAGATATGATAGGGAAAGTAATATAACTACTACTTAGGGATCTTGAAGGGTTATTATGAATGACTTTGACAAGAACATACACTACATCCTAGCCTGTGTATCCCAGCTATATAAGAATAAAACACATCCACCATCTTGGTGAGATTCAGGTTTTAGTTCTTTAGTAATGAATCCTTATCCCCTACCTATTTCCTATTCTAGGCAAAGACATGATAGATCAAGAAATGTGTTCTGTTTCCTGTGACTCTGCCTAGTTGCCAAAGGGCCTTCTTGAGGGTCCCGTACTATGTACAGAGATTCAGGGTGAGAATGGTTCTTTTTTTGGAGTCTGTCCAAGATTTTGTGCCCTTCATTTCACTCCCCATCATCTTCCATAGTTCTAAAAAGCTCCTGGGATCTCTGACAAGGTCTTATTCACAATAGTGCAAACTTCCAATGACAGTAATTTATGGCTTAACCCACTTTCGGGCCATTTTTCCTGGCCCCTTACACTAATTATCTCAGTCATCTGTGTATAATAAACAAGGGCTTTCTTTCCCCAGCACTCATCCTCCACTTCCCGCCACCCAGCGGGGCGCTCATAATGCGCCATGGGTAACCGTCATAATTATCTCCATGGCAATAGAGTGCAGTGTTATTAGGCCCATAGGACTCGCCACAGATGTGGATGATAGAGCCATCAAGCCACAATGTTGAGCTTTGAACAATCACCGATACTCAGAGGAAGGTCAGAACCCCTCATGATGCTTGTGATGAGTCATGCCAAACTGCACCTAGAGCTGGAGGTAGGGACGGGAACATTTTCTCCAATCAGACGGGCAAATTACTTTCCCTAATGTTCCCACGACTTCCCCCAAAGCTCTCTTACGTGGGGTCCATTCCACCTTTGCACTGTATATTTTAATGCACTTTTATAAAGGTTGGTTTAGACTTCTTTGAATCCAATGCTACAGCTTTGCCTCCTCACACCCCGATTTCTATACTCTGTAGAACCATGCCTCCAATGCAGCAGCCACAGATGCAAATGGCTATGGAGCACCTTAAAGGTCTGTGGTCTGCACTGGGGGTGCTGCAGGCACGAAATACACATTTGATTTTGAAGGTTCAATATGAAACTTAAAATGTCCTACTAAAAATGTTAAATTGATTATATGCTGAAAAGATAATATTTTGGATATTCTGGAATAAGTTAAACTGTAAAATTAAACTTTACCTGTTACTTTTAAACTTTTTTAAATGTAGCTACCCAGAAATTTAAAATTACATATGTGACTCACATTATATTTCTATCAGGCAATGTTGCTACAGAGTTAAATGGATGATTTCTGTTAACTTCTAAATCTGCAGAACTGATGGCATGATAAAAATATTTAACACTTGAAGAGTGCCTTGTGCTTCTGAACATGTGCTTTTATATTATGATTTGACTTGATATGATTAATCATTCCAGAAAAACTGGCATTCCTGTCATTCTACTAAACTAAGATACTCAATTCCCAAATAGGGCATCTATTTCAGGATTTCCCTTAATACCCAAAGGAACTAAGAGCAGGCCAATAGGAAAAAAACTCGAGTGAAATTGTGCATTTTCAGGAGAGGAAGGCAAAGTGGCTACTTTAAATGGTTGGTGATACCCAACTTCCTGTCTGCCCATACATACACAATTGTATTTGGCCAACAGAATTTAAGAAATATTTCTGGCTAAAAGAAAACTGGAAGGATTATACGGACAATAAGCCTTATTATTAGTGCAAAATGGTAATGAGAAACTGACTCTTAGGTGAAGAAGGGAAACGATTTTCATACTGCAGATCAGTCTGGGAAGTTGACCAGAAGCTTTTTATGAAAGGGTGCTTTTAGATGGCAAGTGAAGGATTGAAGCTGATGAAAAACAGGAGTGATAAATGAAGCTGAACAGTTAGGAGATGAACAGGTTTGATGTGGTAAATTAATGAGGGATACAAGAAAACACAATATATGGCACAAAAGACCATGTCGCTCAACCAGACAAAAGAAAACACGGGCCCTGGTGACTGTTCGGATCATCCTCTTGGACTCTCAAGTTAGATTTGAGTCACCTTTTCAACCTATGCAAGGAGACTGGAGAAGGCTGAGAATGTCTGCTGTCCCCTGCTGGTTTAAATGAGATGAATTTTATTGCAAAGAACTTATTGGACTCAGAAGACCTATAAAATTCAGTTAATCTCTCAAGAGACTGTGTATTACCTACAGAAATAGGCCGAGCATGGTTTGTTGTGCTGCATGGGTGTGCATGCAATGACATTAAATGTCTCACATGAGATAAGATTCACATGAGATAAGATTTGTAAATAATAACCCTACCACTTATTGAGTACCTACTATGTATGTGCCAGGCATTCTACATTTAACTCTGACTTACATATATTACCTTCCAAGACATGTTTTATTGTCCCGTTCTACAGATGAGAAGATATAGTTCAGAAAGGTTAATTAAGTTGCCCCAAGCTGCACAGCCGACAGGAACTACTACCTGGACCTAAAGCCAGATCTTTACAGCATCAAAGCCCATGCTGTTCCACTCCACCACACTAAGAAACTGCCTAAGGATGCCTGACACCTAGTAAGTACTCGATAACTGTTACTTCCCTTCCCCCATCAAAGCATTCTGACATCATTTTCCTCCCTCCTGCTCAATCTGCATTAAATAATGCAGCCACTATTAGTGACATACATTTTATTCACGGTGACACCCATAAAGAAGTCTCTGATTTGTGACTCCTCATGTACTAAGATATCAAGTAAAAGTCCCTGATACCTTTTCAGCCATGCTGGAAGCAAAGACACGAGTCAGGAGAAGCCTGATGTCAGTGCCAGGGAAGGTCCTCTATGGCAATGGGACACTGAGCGGACATGTGCCAACATGCATTCCCGGAGCCTGCGGCACATGTCTTGACATACTCAGCCAGAGACAAGAGGACCCCGATGGTGATGCAGGGTCAGACGGGAAAGGGGATGGAAGGTAAACCGATGAAGGAGCACTGGCGAGGCAGCAAAGAGGCTTGCAACCAGGCTGCAGCTTAAAAAGACAGAGGTGGTACCTTCACAGCCACGTTCAATCTGCCCACTGCGATGGAGGGCATCGTTGATGAGGTCCGGCAGGCGCCCGTTCAAGTCCACGGATGCCAGGCAGCCCTGGAAGCCATCCCGGGAGGCCACGAGCTTTGGCAGGTTGCTGTACATGCCTTGGGCCAGACCTGCCATGTAGAGGTCACCTGGAAAGGAAAACGGGCAGGAAAAGCAAAGTGGTGAAGGGGCCGTGTCAACGAAAGCCAAGCCCACTCACTGCTGCCCGGGTGATGGTAACACAGCTGGTGGAAACAGCATCCACAAAATTCCTGGCAGGGTTTCTACACTGTATAAAGATGAAACTTAACATTTCTTGAGTGTCATTCATTTTATACACATCATCTCACACACTGTAATCACCATATCCATTCCACAAGGTAGCTATTGTTTCCATTTTATGATGAAGTAAAGATTAACATTTTCAACAAAACAACCATTTACTGAGTCCTTTTTATGTGCCTATTACCAATAACATGTTGAGAATTTTACAGACATTATTTTATCAAAACTCCTAACAGCCCATAAATGTAGTAACAATTATTATCCTCATTTTGCAAAAAAATAAAAGCATATAGAAGCTGAAAAAGGCTAAGAAATTTTATCAGTCACTGAGGCAGTAAATGATTTAGCTGAGATTCTAAAAACCTATATGCCTTCCTCTGTATTATGACCTCACCACATTTTGTGATTCATCACTCAGCTTCTACATGCCCAAGGTTTACAGGGAATACAGAGCATTCCTAAGGAGTGGTCAAAGTAAAAACTGAATAAACTGCATTCTGGTATAATGCAGTGTAGTTAAAACAGGATATACATGACATATCAAAAATGCCCAGTGCTCTTAAATTGCAGTTTACTGCTGGGAACAGCCTTTCCACTGAAAGCTCTAGGAAGGATAAACATCTTTACGAGGTTTACCTTTCAAATCCAGATTTTTGGCACCATTGATAACTTGAGTGACCACCTTAGTGTCCACTTTCAGGCTGTGGGTGTTGCTGTTGTCCCTGGTGATGACGACGTTATGCCACTGGTTGTCATTCAAGGGGCGGTCACTATTGCCTTTGATCACATTGGGGCCATTTCCGAGGTCAAACACGTAGTGTATGTACCTGCGAGGGGTCACAAGCACCCGAAGACTTGAGATTGCCTGGAGGAGTTTAATGCAGTTTAATGGCAACGTATATGTAACTGACACCGGGGCTTCAAACGCCCCGAGAGAGACTGGCATCATGCGAGAGAAACGAAAGCTTGAGTTAAGAATAAAGAATGTGTACTAAGTCGCTTCAGTCGTGCCTGACTCTGCGACCCTAAAGACTGTAGCCCGCCAGGCTCCTCTGTCCATGGGCTTCTCCAGGCAAGAACACTGGAGTGGGTTGCCATGCTCTTCTCCAGGGGATCTTAAAGAATAGTCAGATCCTATTCCATCAGACTGCATTTTAGTTCTATACTCATTGAATCTATTTCTTTAACACTACAACCTAGATAGCATATTAAAAAGCAGAGACATTACTTTGACAACAAGGGTCCATCTAGTAAAGGCTATGGTTTTTCCAGTGGTCATGTATGGATGTGAGAGTTGGACTATAAAGAAAGCTGAGCGCAGAAGAATTGATGCTTTTGAACTGTGGTGTTGGAGAAGACTCTTGAGTGTCCCTTGGACTGCAAGGAGATCCAACCAGTCCATCCTAAAGGAGATCAGTCCTGGGAATTCATTGGAAGGACTGATGCTAAAGCTGAAACTCCAATACTTTGGCCACCTGATGCGAAGACCTGACTCATTGGAAAAGACCCTGATGCTGGGAGGGATTGGGGGCAGGAGGAGAAGGGGACGACAGAGGATGAGATGGCTGGATGGCATCACAAACTCAATGGACTTCAGTTTGAGTAAAGTCCGGGAGTTGGTGATGGACAGGGAGGCCTGGCGTGCTGTGATTCATGGGGTCACAAAGAGTCGGACACGACTGAGCAACTGAACTGAACTGAACTGAACTGACCTGACCAAGTAAAAATCCCGAATCGCAAAGCACACCAGCTGGACGCTGCAAAACACTAGGGGAGACATTTAAGTTCACAGTCATTCAGGGCTCTGTTTTGGGTTTTGGTCTCTTTTTGGGCTTTTGTTTTAACTACATCCCAACGCTCAGTAGTAAAATATCTTGGACCAAGACCAGCTTTCTAAAATTTGCAGATATGGGATAATGGTAGTAATGAAAATATATTTCACTTCTTCCCGTGAATTTGGTGGCACAAATTCACTGCCCCACAGCCCATATCCCTGTTTTGCAAAAATAATTCCTTTTTCCTGTAGGTTTAAAGGACTATATTTCATAATAAAATGTTTGAGAGTATTGAGTTAGTAGAGGATCTTTCAATAAACTCATGAATTTCTCTCCCTTCCAGCCTTAATCATTACACAGACATTTTTAATCAATGGGGGAGAGAGCATGTATCAGGAATAGAAAGTAGAATGGACACTTTTCATGTCCATATTTTATGCAGGGCTGGTGCTAAGATGCCTAGTATAAACTAGGCGCTGCCGTCCACTTACCCCTTGACTAGCTCAACGGCAATGAAGTCGTTGCCGTCACCGCTGTTGAAGAGAATGAAGCCATCAGCGGAGGTGGTCTTGAACTGGAAGAAGAGGTGCATGGAGGTGTAGGCCTGCAGGGTGGCCAGGCTCAGGTAGCTGCTCTTGGTCTTGAAGGTGACGGGGTCGGCGATGATGTTCCTCAGTCCAAAGCGAGCCTTCAGCTCGCAGTAGTCGATGTCTCCGTTCTTGCACAGGTCGATGTAGAGCAGCCCATTGAACATAAGGCTCTGCAAGTGGCCGATGAAACTGGAGGGGACCACGGAGATGTAGCGCTTCTCGGTCATGATACCAGTTTCAATGTTGTGGAATTCCAAGCGCGTGTGGTCTCCCACCATCGTACCTGTGGAAAAATCACGAGATGAGATGCAAACGGGAAAGGTGACCGTGTTTTGCATAGCATCCTTACGATAGCCTGTAGGTCTAACGTATTTCTACACAAAACATTCAGTTCCAGAAAACGAAATACTCAGTATAGCCGATATCTGACTTGGCTGCAGTGGGGGAGCTGATTACTGGGCCAATCCGAGTTTTGTACCCTGCGCCCCATGCCTTCCTGCAGCCGCACAGAGGGTGCCTCCTATAAAGGAAGATAGGAGATCATGGGCAACTCAAGTTAAAGGATGAATCTATTCATTTGCTCCATTCAGGAAAACAATGGAGTACTAATACATACTGTAAGAAGAAAAGGTTTTGTTGCCTTAACACTTGTAAAGATAAAATAAGCCAGCCTTAGTCATTCATTACCAAATATTTCTTGGTACAATAATCCATCACCCGGTGCTTGGGGAAAAAGTTACTACTGTAGAACATATTAATTTTATCTGACTAGCAACTGTTGATTTGTCTCATAATTACATTTAATTTTCCTTTGGGAAGCTACCTTCCCCACTCCACCCTTAAACCATTGGGGCTGGATGAAGGTGACCCCCATCCCAGCTCCTGAAACAATCAAGTTACCCAGTCTGAACCACTCAAGGCATTCTATCCCCCTAGACATAGAGTGTGGTCAATGGACTAACAAATTGGTCTTCTAAAGCATGCATCTCAATCACACAGTTCACTGAGTCCCACCCTTAGAGTTTATTATTCAAAACTCTGGAGTGCAGCCTGAGAATCTGCATTCCTAACAAGTTTCAAGGCGCTGCTTCTGTGATTAGTCTAGGGACTACACTTAGAACACTGAATTAGCAGCAACCCAACTCACCCCCATGTTTTTGCTGGAATGCTAAGGAAAGAGAGATTCTTTGCAAACCAGGCTTGCTGAAGGGGAAAGAAGAAAACCCAGGGCTGCTGGAGGCCACGATAACTGGGGGGAGAGGGCCTCCCTGGTGAGAGAGCCTACCCAGACGATACCATGAAATGGAGAGAGATGGTTTCTGCAGGATGATGTCATTTTAAGACCTGGATCTAGTCAACCAAACCTGGGCTTTTAAAAGCTATATGGCCACAGATTGCCCTTTATGCTTAAAACATTTGAGTTGGGTGTCTTACACGTGCAACTGAAGAATCTCCAGCGGATACAAATAATCTATTAGCCCTCCCATTACCTGGATTCCCCAGAAACAGTGAGTGGCTGGGGCAAGGGTAATTAGGAGGGCTTGAAGTAAATACAAAGAGACAGCACATTTTAGTAATGAAATCAAGGAAAGCAGCATTAATGTGGTCAAACTAGAAGGTGGCTCTCTCAACATTTTTTTGGATAAATCATATTAAAATTTAACAAACCAAGTTGTAACTCCCCAGAGGCAGAAGGAAGGGAAAGGGAATTCCCTCTTCCTTCTTTCTCCTGTTATGACCTTCCACTTTGAAGAAATTTCACTAGCAAGACACACTAGTATCTCTTTATTCCTTCTTTTATAGTTTTCCAGAGGAAAAAGAGTGACAAAATCTGAAATATAAGGACAGTCTGCAAAGAGAAACCATACGTCCATAGCTCAGTCCCTGGCATGTGCTTTATGGGAACAAGCTGCCTTGAGAAACATCAGTTTATGTCATTCATTCATCTGCTGCATGGCTGTTAGAGGAGCAGGTTTGCTTCAGTAGAGATTCCTACTCCAGTCCTGAATTAGCGTTCTAGAGGGCAATTCTAAATCTGAAATCCAGTACATGTAAACCACATATTTCAACATCAGTGCTATCACTAATAAAAATGATAGTTCATTTCCACAAGACTAGCATTTATTTTTCTTAATTGGTGTAGAACTCAGGTGGCAAAAATAAGAGCAGGGGAGGTGATCACATTTTCTTGGGTCCTTAAACTCCAATATCGGGGACCTTCAACCAGATCACACTTTTGGATGCTCAATATTAATTTCATCTCTTTGGGAGCATTCTCAGACCTAGTTGAAAGAATCGCTCCTAAGCGCAAAAATCAAATTTACATTTTATGAGCTCCTTTGTGGTGTTTTGACAACTAGTGACAAATTGTCCTCTTCATATAAGCAAAAATAAAATGATGATGGTGGTTAACTTAAATACAAAATTGTGATAGGACAAAAATCAAACTGCAACATAAACCTGCTAGCAATTGAATGACTGGATGAAATGCTTTAGTACTGAAAACTGGAGTGGTCAAGAAAATGCAACTAGCATAATCTAAATTCACATGACCTAAAACTATGAAGTGATAAAATAAATACCCAATGTCAATGTGGCCATAGCTGTGCATACCAGGGCTAGAGGCGGGGAGCTGGGGCTGGACGCTGATGGCGAGGGGAAACCATATCCAATCTCACTGAGGGCCCAGGAACTGAACAATGATGATTCTAGTCCTCATGCTCATTCTTAGAGTAAAAATTAGAAAAAAAAGATTAGTGACGAGAACTAAGAAGGGATAAAGGGATGATCCCTGGTGAAGACTGGAGTTCTGAAAGGAATCTAAAGAGACAATGACGAGGTCAACTGGGAGCTTTTAGAGAAGTATGGATAAGTCAGCCTCTAGAATTGAGGGGTTAGGAAATTCTGCTCTCCAAAACATGAATTTCATAAAGCAGGAAAATCATACAGTGTTGACTGAGCTAAAAGAGAGATCGAAGGAAGGTGTTCGTAAGTAAGAAAGTGTTAGTTGCTCAGTCATGTCCAGCTCTTTAAGACCCCATGGACTGTAGCCCACCAGGCTTATCTGTCCATGGACTTCTCCAGGCAAGGATACTAGAGTGGGTAGCCATTCCCTTAAACAGGGGGATCTTCCTGACCCAGAGATTGACCCAAGTCTCCTGCATTGCAGGCAGACTGTTTTCCATCTGAGTGGCCAGGGAAATCCTGTAAGTAAGAAAAAGGAGGCTAACAATGAACTTAGAGGACTTAGCCCAGAGATGCAAACAGATTTAAAGTTTAGGGTAACTCAGAGAGCTTCAGCTAGAAGTTGGTAGGGGTTAGGAGAGACAAGGGAGTGAAAAAGTTGACATGGGACCAAATTAGAAAATATGCTGCTGCTGCTGCTGCTGAGTCGCTTCAGTCGTGTCTGACTCTGTGCGACCCCATAGACGGCAGCCCACCAAGCTCCCCTGTCCACGGGATCCTCTAGGCAAGAGTACTGGAGTGAGTTGCCATTTCCTTCTCCAGTGCATGTACGCATGCTAAGTCACTTCAGTCGTGGCCGACTCTGTATAACCCCATGGACAGCAGCCCACCAGCCTCCTCTGTCCACGGGATTCTCTAGGCAAGAATACTGGAGTGGATTGCCATTTCCTTCTCCACTAATTAGAAAATANGGTGATGCCATCCAACCATCTCATCCTCTGTCGTCCCCTTCTCCTCCTGCCTTCAATCTTTCCCAGCATCAGGGTCTTTTCCAGTCAGTCAGTTCTTTGCATCAGGTGGCCAAAGTATTGGAGCTTCAGCATCAGTCCTTCTATCATCTAATCAATATTAATAACTGGGAAACTTTTCACTCATCTCTTTTGAATGCTGTCTGTAAAGTAAAACTCCCTCCACTTAAGGCAAGAATACATGCATACTTCATAGCAGCTACTTTCAAATTTCAGAGGAAAGAAGAGTAACTTGGGAGAAAAAAAATAGGGAAAAATCAAGACTACTGAAGAGTCCCTATATGCCAGGCACTCTGTAACCACCATCAAATGTCACAATCACAAAAAAATGCTGTAGATAAGCATTGCTATCTTGCTTCAGAGGTGAAGATGCTTTGCTTAGCAAGGTTAAGCAACTTATCACAGGTCATACAGGTGGTAAATGGTAGACCCCTTGAACTGAACACGTGTGTATCATGCATCCCAAAGCCCATATCTTCTCTGGTACAGATACACTGTTTCTGGAGAAAACACTTGACTCATTCATTCTTCACATCATTGTCCAAGAAAAACTGTGGGTGGAATTTAACTGGTGAAATTTCCAAACAGAAGTTGCTGTGATGAGTTTATACTCCTTTGCAGGGGCCGAATATTGTATCATCCATCTAACTCACAAGACTCTTGAGAGTCCCTTGGACTGTAACGAGATCCAACCAGTTCATCCTAAAGGAAATCAGTCCTGAATATTCATTGGAAGGACTGATGCTGAAGCTGAAACTCCAATACTTTAGCCACCTGATGCGAAGAACTGACTCATTTGAAAAGACCCTGATTCTGGGAAAGATTGAAGGCAGGAGGAGAAGGGGAAGACAGAGGATGAGACGGTTAGTTGGCATCACCAACTCAATGGACATGAGTTGGGTAAACTCCAGGAGTTGGCAATGGACAAGGAGGCCTGGCGTGCTGTGGTCCATGGGGTCACAAGGAGTCAGACACGACTGAACGGCTGAACTGAGCTGAACTGAATGTATTCCTTACCTTTCCCAGGATAGGCATGTTTCTCTCGCTCCTATTCACTCAGTCACTGCCATAGTTCACTGTTGGCCAGCAAGCAGTTTACAGACCAGCCCTGGAGCTTGGAGTTTGTTGAGAGCATAAATCTACTGAAAATTTTAGCCAAGTTCAAGCTGTAACTTTCCACAAGTGGATGAATGTAAGCTCTGAGATTTGACTGCCTGGGTTACATAACTTTCTTGTGGCTCAGTTTCCCTGTGAAATCAGCATGAAGTTATCAGGATGAAATGTATCAGTACCTATAAAGGACAGAACACAGTCCGTTAGCTATGAACTAATTATGCAGCTTTCATTTTTTCCCTTTCTCTGACGTCTGCTAAGAATTTCCTGGGGACTTCACTTATTGCTTTCTCTCTTTCACCAGAACACAAGCTCTTTGTAAGTAGGGACCACTCCTTGCCTCTTCCGTGTGCCCCACACTGGGGGCCGGGCTGGAGCGCAGCAAGCATCCCTCACATCCGGGGAAGGAGGCTGCATGTGAGACATCTGCTTTGGAGTCAGCCTTAAGAGTTGGCCAACACTGAGAGCAAAGAAATAACAGGAGAGGCTTGACCACCCACGCCTCCCAGATTGGGGGAGAGAAGTCAAGAAAACAAAGGCTCANATCGCTGCAGTCACCATCTGCAGTGATTTTGGAGCCCCCAAAAATAAAGTCTGTCACTGTTTCCACTGTTTCCCCATCTATTTGCCACGAAGTGATGGGACCAGATGCCATGATCTTAGTTTTCTGAATAATGAGTTTTAAGCCAACATTTTCACTCTCCTCTTTCACTTTCATCAAGAGACTCTTTAGTTCTTTGCTTTCTTGCACTCATCTCACAAGCTAGTAAAGTAAAATGCTTTAGGAATTTTTAAAAAGTTCTGGTGCCGAATAAATTGGGCAAACACTGCATATGCAATTTTTGATGATGAGCAAGGGATATTAGCATATTAAAGGCTCCTCACAGGTCTTTCAGTAAAGAATTCTACTGCATTTTGTTTAACCTGTTGTGTCCAAATTGATCTCAACATTCCTTTTTTTTTTATTAACATGAGAAGTTTTTCTTGGAAAATGATGCTTTACAGCTTGGTGTGGTGTGTGTGTGTATGTATGTGTGTATATATATATATATATATACAGGGTGATGGAAGGAAAGGAAAATGCCAACGTGGACCAGAGGAATACAATTTAAAAAGAAAAGGTGGAATTCTATACCAGGAAGAAGCTCCAGGAGAAGTGGGCAGTTCCTGCAGCATTGGGTCCCCATGCTGAGGAGCATATCTCAAGTGATGTAGCCTGTTAATTTGTTCTTTTTTAAAGATTTTTTTTTTTTGTATATTTACTTTTACTTGGCCGTGCTAGATCTTAGTTGTGGCCTGTGGGATCTAGTTCCCTGACCAGGATCGAACCCAGGCCCTCGGCATCGGGAGCACAGAATCTTAGCTGCTGGATCACCAGGGAAGTACCTGATTTCTTCTTAATAATAGAAATCCAGCTCAGCCAATCAATCAACCAATCTTGATTAACTGTCAACTGAACTTAGTATTTTTCCAGGAACAAATTATATTACAATAAATGAAAACCACCAGGCTGAGGACTATTTCTTTCCTAGCTTCTGATTTCTTATGAGTCTGACCTATTCTTTGCATCCATTTGTACAAACTAGCTGAAAATCTGACATCCTAGGGGACCTTAAGCAGCATGAAAGGCATTACTAAATAAGTCAGTAAGACACTATTTAATAACCTGAGGACTGTGTGGTATTTTAGTTTCATTGCCTGATTTTATGACTTCTGTGAGCTAAAATTAAAATTCCCAAACCCCTTATCACTGTAAGAAGCAACCCAAGACTGCAGCTCATAAGCAAAATAGCTCTTTTCTTTTCCCAAATTTCTTTATCTGCATGGTTCCTTTTTTTCCATCAGCAGCAGAGTAGGGGGTATTGTGGGGTTCATTAATTTCTAATATCAAATTACTAGATGACTTGGGCATGCATTGTTTAATCCAGCAGTTTAATTATTAGTGGTTAAGAGAAAGCACACTTTATAATTACCTTTATTCTAAAATTTCTGTAAAAGAATACTGGCTGAGGGAGGCAGTATACATTACTGTATCCTCAGTCCTGCAGTTCTTAGACTTCAGGGCATATAATTTCCCTATGGAAATAAATGGAAAGCACTGTCTGCAGAGAGAGGGGCGAGGTCGCCATCTAGTGGCTGTTTGTTCAAAACACGCTGCAAAGAGCACTGTTGGCTTTACTGGGCTGAACCCAGAGAAGTAAGCAAGGGACGTGGGGTATATCACAGCTGCCTTGGAGGGCTCCCCTCTGCACTCCCTCACGGGGAGTTGCTGCATAATTAACTCAGGCTGGCTGTGGGTCCTAAAGCTTCCAATCATTTTTACATCTCTTTGCTATATTCATTACATAAAGCTCAGTCACCCTTCAGGCATGTAGAATAGTAACTTCACTCCCCACTACTAAGCTATGTCTCTGCACAATTGGAGGGTAATGCTTATTGTTGCACTTCTGTTTGTCTTCTCTGAGGGAAGAAAGGAGGTGGGTAGTATTGTGTACCTTCTGAAAGGTATTCCTCACCTCACCCCAATCCATTCCGCTCTATTGTACCTATGGTGGAAGACAAATCATTTTACTAGGATAAACTGTGAAGTCTAACAAGCAGTCTGATTGGGTCAAATCACACAGACATGAATTTAGAGTTTACTCTTACACCTGCCTCTAAATGCATGTTCCCCTTACGTAAAATGACAACCAGAACAGTCGACTTGCAAGGCAATGGTGTACTTTAGAAGATTAAAGGAGCTGATATGTGTAGAACAGCTAAGCCAGCATCTAATGCCAGCTGGGCACTAGATATATGTGGATCTTCTGCCTGTATCCAGGTTCTCATTCCTGACTTACACACACACGCACACACACTTCTACCTGCAGACACACACGTACATGGCTCACTGCTAGGCCCAACTCCATAAGTATAGACTCTCAGGCTCATAATTATAAAACTAAATTACAGAACCAAACATCGCAGAAACTTAATGCTGCAGACAGCCTTAGCAATAATAGAATTTCAAGTTTAAAAGTTTGAAGTTTTAACAGAATTTCAAAATGAGGAAATGAGGAAAGGGAGGTTTAGCATTATTTCTAGCCCAAAGGTATAAGGCATTTTAGTGACAGTGACTATTAAACCAAAGGATCCTGACTCGAATTTGACTGTTATATTCATAGAAGACACTGTAGATATGGCTTAGGCCCCTGACTTCATCTCGCAGGCCCAGAAATGGTTGACTTTCACAAAATCCTGCAGAGAATCAGCATCAGGGCCCAGGTCTCCTGACACCAACAACACTCCACATAACACCCCATCCTCCCTGACATTTTCCTTTCCCACATGGACAAGAAGTCTGCATAAGAGATATNCTAGATCTTACTAAATGATCCATCAAATTCTGCCCAAAGATCTACCTTCATAAACCAGTCCAGATTTCTCCAGCTCAAGTTGATACTTTTCTCTCCAGATTGAAAATTATAATCTTACCTACCCACCCAAATTAGAATCTCATTATATATTCCCCGACTTATTTTCAAATTCCCAAGTCTTTCTTATCTAATACATAAAATTGATTCATTGTTGAAGGAAACAGGTAATCATGTGGGCTTCCTTTTAAACTTCTACAATCCCTAGCATATTCCTGACATTTACCAGGCTATCAAGACACACTTACTGCTTGAGTGAGGCTCTGAATGTTTGTTTATGTATGTAAAGATTCATTCACTTATTCCTTGCCCTCCTAGAATGTAAATTCCACCAGACCCAGGACTTGCCTAATTGCCCACCACCACATTCCCAGCACCGTCTAAAGCAGGATTTGGGACATAGTAGGCAGCCAATTAATAATGACTAAATAAATTATTAAATAAGTGAGTAATTATTTAGCACCTTCTAAGTGTCATGTACTGCTTTTGATACTTACTTGTACCTATAAAGTTTTGAATTTTTGGTTTACCCATCTCCCTCTACTAGAGAGTGACTCATTCAGAAGGTAAGAACTAGCACTTGGGATGACTGAGAAGTGGGCTTTGAGTAACTGAATAATAGAAGGATCTCTAGAACTCTACATCCGTTCTCCAGACACACACTCTGTGCCCAAGGAGAGAGCCCCATCAATACGTAACCACAGTAGTGGAGAAGTTCTGCAATACAGATCAATGAAAAGGGATCCTGAAAATATAGAGGCAGATCTTCTTAGTCTTACCTGAGCTTGTCAACACAGAACAAGACATGTGACTTCTGTTTAGCAAAATACAAGGTTTGCAAGACAAAAAGCCCTTTGCTCACTCAATGACCAAGAGGAGTGGGAGAGAAGAGAGAGACAGAGTCCGCAGAGCTTACTCACCCTCAGCTACGTCGTCGTCCACGGTTAACTTGAGGCTTTTTCCTCTCCGCACCACCCGGACGGTGTGCCACTCATTGTCGTTGAGCTTCTGCCCCGCATACAGGGTCTCTGGTCCTTTGCCTACGGGCAGTGGTAAGTGCCAAAGTTAGGGCCAATCTTAAAAGTACTGTTCATGGCATCAGAGTTGTCAAAGCCACACTGGTGCATATGATCCCAGCAATGCTCAAGCAGTCATCACCCTCCAGAGCCCACCTGAGTCTCAGGGACACTCTGCTGAAGGCCCCAACTGAAAATCTCAACTGAATCATAATGGGCAATAACAAATAAGTATCCTCTTTTATCTGTAGGTGCAAGACATTTTAAATGGCAATGGCAATATTTACAGGAAATAGTAGTCAGCTGTCATTCTGTTTCCCAAAGTCTTAGACTTCAGGTAAATTTCTTGAAGAAATAGGAAATTCATTATACATTCTTTTAGAACCATTTGATCACTCAGGCATAATACACCAGTCTGGTTTTCAGAGAGTATCCACCAATTGAATGAGAAAAGAGTTCTGCAATCTATGTTTTTAATTTGACATTTCCATTAACCCATGGTCTTACCAGAATTCAGTGACTATATGAATCACAACAGTAATCATTACAATAATAATGTCAAGGCCTAAACTCCATTATAAACAATGCTCCTGAAGGGAATATAATGGGCCTCAGACTTATTCACTGTTCATCATCTTCCAAAAAGATACAAAGACCTAAAAAATGAAATAATGCAAAATTCCAAAATGGAACCTGTTTAGGTCAAAAGAATAGTCAGTAAAATGTGCCACTAAATAAAGCAACAAACCAAACTGTCCCAGAAGATTCATAATCAATATGCTCAAGATGACGTTCAAGTGAGTCCTTGGAAGAACCGGGTGTTACAATGAATGATGGTATTTAGGGGCAGACGTTGGCAAGACAAACACTGAGGCATCAAAACACTTCAGTTAGGGATGAAGGGGAGAGGAATATCATGTTTCATTCACTATGGAATTGAGATGTAAGTTGAGAAGACAAAGAAGATTGTGTAGAACCAGAATTCTTAGAAAAAGTTTGCCCTCTCTACAGACATAACTGAGCCCTTGCAGAAAGATGCTGCTTCAATCTTCCTGCATTAGTCAGTCAGTACATGGAAAGTCTTATTTCTGGAATAACTTGCAAAAAAATTAAGAGATGAAACATCTAACTGGGCAATACACGGATTGGCATCTACAGATGTTAGGCATCTGTAATATTTCAGAAGACCACACACTCAGCTCCAGCTTATAGGAGCACAGGTCCAAGCACACAGTAGGCGCTTTAATGAGTACTTGTTGAATAACTGATGTCTACTAAGATCTTTATTTCTTTGGAAACAATCAAAATAAGGTCAGCATACTCTTATGTAAGTAACTTTGAAACTTATTATATAACTTTCACTAGCCAGTCTTCCCACCCCTCTACCTCCAAGACTGAAGATACTCTATGCTGTTTAGGGGAGAAAAGAAAACAGAATATCACTTGAGTAGAGATCTTTTAGGCTGGGTAATTTTAAATTAGATCCTTTAATGTTGAGTAATTAACATCTCTATTAAGTTCTGGTTATTAAGAGTTATGACAGTAGTTGCAGTTTGGTGAAATTTCCTTCTTGAAACTCAAACAGGCTCTCCAAGTGGAAAGGTTTCTTTTAATCACAAGCTCTTCAGCAGGTAATTTGTGTTTAATATTTTTCAGAATGTACCTATACTCCAAGGGCAATCCATATTTATAAAAATTCTGAGAATTCGATGAAGAAACTTAGAGTGGACCACATATACTCAGAATTCAATAACGATGCCATGAGACCAGTGAATCTTGAGAAAAAAAAAGTAATTCTATAACAAATAATTTAATACTCAGTCTTAGCCTCCGTTAAGTGTGCCTGTCTTTGATATTATCTAAAATGTATACACTGTAACAGGTTTTTCCCTCCATTTCAGCTGGTTATGTAGCACTGCTCATGATCTCATTAAGTTCAGGTCTAGGACTGACATGTGTCTGCTTTACATCAGCAAACTCTGTGAGCCTTGAGGAGAGGGACCCCCACACCACGTGGGGACTTTTGAAGCAAGAACAGATGTTCTCAGAAGAATCTGCCTTTGTTTTTTGATGTTTTTATCCTCTTTGTTCTACATGCAAATGATTCAATAGGAGAGAATAAAGTAAAGAAAGATGTGGAAAATATTGGCTATGGAGGCAGAACTGCTACAAATACAGGCTATTTAAAGAGCTCTGACAGGTGGCATCTGCTCTTTAGACAATTTCTGCACATCACTCAATTTTTAGGATTGGGACAAGATAAAAGGGACAAACTCTAACACAAACATAGTCCATTTAGGACATGGCTACATTAGTGCTACGTCAGCCACAAAGACGTAAAAGCTTTGCCTCAGCCCGTGTCTTAAATGCCACTGATATTTTAAAAGTTAAGTACTTCTGGAATCCTTGAAATACTGACTATGGCTAAATTCAAACTCCGACTCTAAAACTTTAGGATATGATGGACTATGATTAAAAATGTGAAAAAAGAAGTGTGATTATACTTGATACAGTTTGATTATACTTGATACCTCCAACCCCCCTAATACTCACTGCTCTGAGAGTAGGGGGAAAAAATTCACACTCATTTCCTTAAAATGGCAGAGAAACAAGTATTGCTTGATATTTATTTTTCAAGCAATAAATAGAGAAATCTCAGTGGGCTTCTGGAAGACGCTTGGCCTTCAAAAGTGGAGAGTCAATGGCATTTATCTTTAATCAAGCCAAAAGGTCAATTTGTCCTACTAGAAGGAAAGTGTGGTTTAAACTCAGCTGGAAATGTTCACAAATAGAGGGAAAGAGCACACCTAATCGGTAGCCTAAGCATAAAAATGGGTAGATAAGTGGTGCAAGAAGCAGACACCAGTTGAAAGTTGAAACAGACCAAGGGACAGGAATAAGAGGAGTTAGACTGGGACAACTTCTCTGGCAGGTTCAAGCACAAAGTGTCACTGAAACAATGAATGGAAAGAGCTCTTTACTGTTAAGTAAAGGATGGTACAGATAAGGAAGAAATCATTTTTAAGCTGAGATTTAAAATGGAACTGGTGAGAACTTAAATAAATAAATATACATATAATCAAAACGATTGATTTTCCAGCACTGTCCTTCTCTTCTTAGCAACTTGGAGAAGTGTGATCTGTAACTGGGTACATATTAGATGCATGTCTCCTTTTTTTTTTTTAATAGTTTAAGTAATAAATATTGATCACAAAGCAACCTTTTGATCCTTCAGACTGCTGAGATCATCAACGTTTGATCTAAATACAGGAAACTAACAAGCTGTCTGACACTCCCTAGCTGAATTTTCCAGGTAATGACACCCATGACTGCAGTAAAGATGCAAAACTGATGGAGATGGTGGGGCTGTAGCAATCCGCAGAAGTGGAGCACTGAATCCGTTCGTTATCAGAGAACAGAGAGCTTTCCGTGAATCCTCTGAGTAGGACCACACCCAATGCCCATTCAGTACAAACTCACAGCAAACTCGGCTAGCATCCTCTCTTGTGGTTGGATGTAGTTAAGGCTGGTCTCACAGAAGATTCTCTGATGAGCAGGGGACAGAGAATGAAAATTGTGAATGAAGGACACAAACTAGGCTGTTTTCTCGACCTATCTTACAGTAACTTCAAGGAGGCCAGAGCTAAGAATAAAATCAGGATGAAAACTAGGAGAAAAGTACCCTTTGGGAGATAAATCATTGCTGATGGCTTGAAAGAAGATGACACTCAGATATTAGCAGAATGTTCCTTCTTTGGGAAGATAGGAATGGAAGTGTGTGGGGAAAACCTACCTGCGAGCATTACTAAAGGCACACTTCTTCACAAAGTGGACTGAGGATTTTAATCACTTTGAATCTATTTAGTTGTGTGTTGTTGTTTTCTCTTTTTAACAGATCATTCACATTACATGAATTTGTTATTCCCCCCAGGAGCAATATAACCAGAAAAACTACAAATTTTTCAAATATTTTGTATTTCAATAATTTGTCAATATATTTCTAAGACCTGTCCAGACCAACTAAACCAGATGGTTTTGCTCATATGCAGGGAGTAGACATTCCTTCCATGTTCCACAAAGTGCTATGTTTGAAAGTGGGTGGGTAGCATTTAGGAACTTTTTGTGGGGGTAGGAGGGCAGGGACTAGGGGGGACTAAGACCTGCACCGTGATCACTGGACATCTTGCTATTTGTGCAGAAAGGGAAAAGGAACAACAACCTGCTTTCTCTTGGAACTTGCCTCAGATGAATCAGGACTCTTACAACGAATAAAAAAAAGATGAAACTCACTCCTTTAGAAAGGTATAGTGAAATGCATGTGACTATACATCTAAATGAGATGACAAGTACACATAATGGACTATTAGGTTTAAAGAACACCAAAAAATATTTAAAGACCAAAAACTTACCTTATTTCCACTGGCACCTTAGGTTGGGCTAGCTGAGCTATGACACACACTTTGCTAAGCCTGTAGCTCCATATATTTTATGAATCTTCCTCTCCAGAGAGGAGAGATTCAGCAAGTAAGAGCAGGGATGAGGAAGAAAAGGAAGGAACTAAAGAATAAGGAGGGTGACAGGGAAGTAGCAAACACAAGTATTTTATTCATTCCCCTCTAAATTTCAGGTTCTGCTTGTTTTCTTTGGGCCAACAACCCAACAGAGTGTGAGAGGTGTTTCCTTTTGACAATTGTTTTTTTATCAAAAGAATTCATTTTGGGGTAGGGGGGAGCTTAAATCATATATACTTATAGAGCCAGTTTGCTGAAACATTTCTAAAAGATCATGTCATCCTCACCAGAATCCTCAGGACTCGGGAAGAACTGCCATACTTCCTGCAACAGATGGGAAAAGCATAGGGGGCCTTCTGGAAGCCTGGTGTTAGGAGGTCCTCCCGTGAGTATGCGAGAGAGCCAAGCCACCAAGTCATCCAGCTTGAGCCCATGGTCCCTCCTGGAGGCCGGACTCTAGTCAAAACCCACTGAAGACACCACTGCTACTTATGGGGCTTGAATAGTTCCATG